GCCGGAGGCTGCAACGCGGGCGGGCTTCGGGAGCGTTGGAATCGAGCAGAACGACTGGCCGGCGGGCGGCGCGGGGCGGGCGGGGGCGGGGCGGGGCGGGGCGGGGGGGGGTGGGGCGAGCGGGGCAGGCAGAGGGAAGCTCAGAAGCTGGGGGCCCAGACAGCGTCAGCGGACTTTTATCTGGCGGTGCAGTAGTGCAGGGAAGGAGCGCGCGAAGGTTGGGCTCAGCTAAAAATTTAACGGCCCCATAAACGAGAAATCACACACAATTCCCTGCAGCACTTTCTTCATCAGCTTTTATTATTTATCTCAACTCTTCCTTACTTATTCATAGTGTTTGTATTTAACGCCCTCCAACACATCTTCTCCGACTTTTTATTATTACTATTTTTACTGTGAATTATAGTAATGTTTAATTACTTGCCGCGCCTGGCGAGGCCCTCGCGCCTGCTCCTCCCGACTGGAGCGGGGCGGCCGGCGCCGACTCGGTGCACATGGCCTCCAATTGGAAGCTGGGATCACTCCGCTGGCGCTGGCAGAGTGCAATGCTCGTTAGCGGGGCGAGGCCTTTCAGCGACGGACGCGTTTTGTCCTGGGAAGAAGCCACTCCGACGCCTCCTCGTATCTTGCAGGTGTAACTAGCCAGAGTTTTACCGAAGCGTCTCGCCGAAACCAGATGGTAAACTGCATCTTGACTGGTAAATGAATTATATTGGATGATATTAGATGTTCGATGAATTGAGGGGAAGAAGAGCTACGGGTAGATACGTAATCGGAAATTATAAAGAAGATGATAAACACATCCGGGTAGGGTCCGGGGTCGCGCTGCAACGTTTCGAGAAACGATAAAGCACGTGAATGGGAAAACTACTAGAGGAAATACAAGCTATAAAGTAAATGAGTGCGAAGTGTGGTGAGTGTGAAATAAAACATAAACAGGACGGGAGGCAAGCTGCGCACGGATTCCGCCGTGCCTTTCAACGAGTGCTCACCCCGGTTGTAAAGATGTACGCCTGGATTCAGTATGAGTTAGTGTTGTCTTCCACGCCTCCCACAAATACAGGTTTATGTTTGCATTGGTCTGCATTCAACAATTGGATCGTGTTGAACCACAAAGAAGTAAGGGCCAGCGGTGTGAGTGAGTTCCCGAAACAAAAAGATTATTGAATCAACTCTCCCGGCCTCACGAAACCTTTCCTTCGCATGCCACAAGAACACAAGCAACAATCTGATGACTTGGAATTTTTCAATCACAAAACTAATTTCTCACAAATACCGTTTAGGTTTGGAAGGAAAATTGCTATATATTGAAACAATATTTTGATGTAATCTTTCTAGCAACATTCCGTTATTAAATAATAGTTATTGTGTGTTTATTATTAGGTATTATTTACAATATACTCTAATAAATATTTTACTTCCCTGAAACATCATAGCTACATAAAACTTATTTCAGTTCACAATAAATATTTCTTCTAATCATTTAATTTATTTATTTGGAGGCTATTACTCTGTGCCCCAGTGCTGATATTGACCAGTGCTGAATTATATAATCTGAATGTGTCAAACACGTGAATAGAAATCGAAAGTTTTGCTTGCATCACAAATAGAAGAAATGAAATGAAAACGCCATTGATTGCGGCAAGAGCTTACGAGCTGTGTGCAAACGCAAATCGTACAGCTGTCGCAATGACGGAATTGGAATAGCCTCCGGCTCCAATTCCATTTTCTCGGAGGACACCAAACGGGAAAGTTGTGTCCGGGCCGCTTCGAATCGCCGAAGACGGCCGCGGAGCCGGCCAGCCTCCGGCCGCCGGGAGCGAGCCATACTGCGCAGGGATTCCGGCGCGTTTCCACGAGTGGGCTGGCGGGCTGTAAAGATGTAGGGCTGGCGGCTGGCGGGCGGTGCGTTGTGCGTGCCGCGCGGCGGGCGGGCGAGCGGTGGGCGAGCGGGCCCGCCCCGCACACGTTGTTTGCTCGGCGAATGGCTGCTCTGTCCGAAGCGCCCACCGCGCCGATTGCTGGGCGGTCGAAACACGTCGTAATCGCGCATAACACCGTTATAAAAAATATTGTATTCTTTTCACTCGGAACAGCCGTCCTCTTCCCGTCCTCTTCAAAGTTTGGCGCAGAAACACGCTCTCCCGACGGCTTTTATAACACGCAACTTATGTTAATGTACGATAAATATGCTTTAGTATTTTAGAGCCCTCTTTACGCAGTTATAAACTTGTTACAATAGGTCTACTGATACATGAGAAATTTCTGTTACGTCTCAGTAAAAGAATAAACGTGGTTTGGAGGAACGCGATCGACCTACTAGATATACTTGAGATACAGTTCTACTTTAGTTATTTGTGGCGAGGTTAATTTGAACCGTCTAAATACGAATTCGTTGAATTGGAGATTAGTTAATCAGTTGCGTGCACACAGAAGTACTGAATATGCCTTGTTTTAGCCGTGAAACGATTTTAAAAGGCAGGTTTCGCTCGCTGCATGCCTGTTGCAAACGCCCGCAGTATGCATGGTGGCAGGCGCGCGTTGCCTGTATTCTGTCACGATAAAAGTATAGCTATGAGTCAATACTTACAGCGTAATTATGTGTTCTTCAATAAATTATTCACCCGTGTACAGTAGTTAGTAATGGAACATTGTTCGGTGTGTAAGTACTATATGTGGGTAAACAGAGGTACGCTGCATTATTTTTTAGCCCTGATGTTTGCTGCGATTTACTATTTAAGGTCCGAGTGTTCCAAATACGTTGCACAATTTTCGTGCGAGGAGAACAAACTGTATAACAACGCAGAGAACTGTTCAGCAGAGCAAACAAGCTCATTTGATTGTGACCACGATCTGTTGACAATTATATTTACAGTATTTAAAGAGCAATACTTTCATCTCCTTTACAAATAGAGAATTAATTCAAGTAGATATGTATTGAACAGTTTAATTAACACCAGACAAACATAACTACTGTGCATTTGTCTTGTTGTGATTTTTGTATGCATTCATTTTTATATACTAACAATACTGTATTGCAAACCTGCTATGTACCCTTTAAGCCTTTTCCTGTTTTCCACAAAATTCCGAATGTAATGAAAAGTGTATTATAGGACGCTCCTTTCACACCTTTCCTTTTATGCTTGGATGATGGAGGCAGCCGGCATCACTCTCGACATGCATCATTGCATATGCATATTGAAAACTTTCATTGTTCTTCAGTAGTTAAGAATATCTTTGTTGCACTCTCAAGAACCTATTTTCGTGTTTGCATATCATTCGGTTAATACTTTTGTTCATGTTGTGAAATGCCCTAGTAATCAGTCGTCTTGGTATTTTCCCCTTCACATTCTTTGAAACTGTTAACAGCCAAGTACTATCTATCAGCATATATTTCACACTTTTCTGTGAAATTGTTTCTGATCATATTTTCATTCATGTAAAAAATAGTGTCATGAAAAAATAAAATATTCCCTATTTTAGCTACGACACGTTTAATTCTTCTAACCTCTCTTCTGATCAAAATTATCAACATGGTATACACCCCTTATCATAGTTTTTGGTGAAAAAAAATTAAAGTTCGAAAACGAATTTTCAGAAACATTTTTAAATATATTTTCTTTAGATTGGCAATTAACGATTATCACAGATTTTCAGACCACAGTGTGAACAGCTGTTTGTAAAAGAAGTGAATAGAAAATTCATTTAACACTGCGTAAATCATTTTAGAGGCCTTTTCCCCCTCATCACAATTTCACCATGTTCATCATTCATGATCCATACTGCACAATGCAGTCAATTCGTAACCGTCCACACCTATGCCAATTATCTTGCAAGTGCAGCATCCACCTATTCTTCATCTCAATCTAGCCCTCCCCTCAGTACACGTTGAGTCGCGCCATGACACGCACCATCTTCTGCTGAACGCCGTCCCTCCGTCTCGATGCCACCCGCGTTGGGCTCTGCGCCCGAGGGGCGCCAAGTCTTCTCTGCCGCCGCTGCCACTCCTATCTCCGGCTCCCGCGGTCCATCCCTTACTAACGAGGTGCCTCTAACCACAGTAACTCTCTACTATTCCGCAGCTCCAGACCCGGGAGACCGCCCAAACGGGCCAGCGTGGGGCTCACCATCGCCGCCTCGCACTTGGGCCAGCACCCGCACCAGCAGCTGAAGAAGCACCGCCTCGACAACGGCGAGTACCCGGGCTACGAGAACGGCCACATGGGAGGTGAGTGTCGCCCTGCGCCCCTGCTCTCCCGCACGGGGGTCACCATCAGTACATTATTGGGGGGGGGGCGATTCAATAGATAAGGTGCAGATTGACGGGGATTCTGCTCCAAAATACTCCTTATACTGAAAGCTATTGGGGGAACGCGTCCCCTCGCCCCCTGTCGGTGACGCCCATGCTCTTCTCTGCTCCCCGGGGCCCGACTTCATGGCCTTGGACGAGCGCTGGCCACGCGCCACATAGCCATTTCTCTCACTAGATCCTGTAGCTCGCATTTACATCTTTGTATTATTAGCTCCCACGGCTCCACGCAAAACTTAACTGTAGCCACATAATCGCGCGTATGAATAACCATTCGAGTCGTTACTTGTGATACACAAAAGCAAGTAAATTTGTTTTCCTTATTTTTATAATCGGGTTTTCAGCAAAGAGATCTTATGGCAGCTCCCCAGCAGCTAAGAAACTGATGCTTTGATAGGTTTAGATAGCGTTCAGTAAAAAGTCTTCCTTTTTTCATAAACATGATTATCGCTGAATTTCCCTTAGCGGCGTTTAATTCTGTCACATTCTCAGAAATGCTATGCTACATTAGAGTGAGTTTAAAAAGTTGGGATGAACAATACCAAAATATATTTTAGATCTGTATTTATTTAATGAAATGATGTGAGCAGTCTTTTCTACACATCTTTACATCTCTATTTCAAAGGCATTAACGTTTACAGACCTCTTGAATTGTGATTGAAATTATCCCGAGAGGTGTTTTTCTTTTCGACGTTTTCCGGATTTCTTGCAGTATATTAAAAGCAGATGGAATATTGAAATAAAGTCAGAGATTGAAGTAGGTTACTACACAATTGAAAGAATGTTCGGCTTACTGGGTAAACTAGTTCTCAAGCCAGACCACATCACAAGTGATTGCTTTCGTTCCGGGGCTCCGTAGCACCGATGCGTAAGAGAATGGCTTGCCTCAGTGTGAAATGAAAGCATTTAACAGATGATCAATTCAGCAAGTTGGAGGGTTCTGACAGTTCTGGAGAACCCTTCCAGTTTAAGACGTATACCTTCCCCCTAGGCGCATGGGTACACTGCTAAGTTAAGCAATCCAATGGAAGGGCGTTTCGCGCAGTTCAGTGTATTTACCTTCATTGAAGCACCCAGGGTGAAGCGTGCCTCAGGAGGGGAGACATTTCTAAATACTTCCTCTGAAGATAATCCAACCAACCAGATAATCACTTGCCACAGACGATTTGTCTCTCTAACTACATTCCAGAATTTAAAACATTCCAAGAAAATAGTTACTCAAGTAGTTTTCTGAAAAATATTCAGATAAATGGGATTTAAAATTGAATGTAAATAATTATATCCGACATCTCATGTTTCGTTAGAAAATACAATTGTACATGGCGAAACTCTTGTTTACACCATACAAAATGTACAAGCCATAATTTACGAATGAATTACCATTGCCAAAAGTATTATTGTTCACTGGGAATTTGTAGAGGGAGATAACTATTACTTCTCCTCCCCCAGAAACGCCAATGATCTGTTTTGTCCAAAATGTCATATATTATTTACACACGAATGTCTCATTTACTACCTTGGCAAAGCAAAACCTTCAAAAAGATTTTTCTTGTTCCATTTAAAATGATTCTTTCCATTTTCATATCGTTTCATTACACTTCATTACAATACCAATAGCAGGAAAGTACAAAATTGTGTAAATTATAATACCTCTTCGAAAATTGTTTGCATGATGAAATATTGATTTATATTTCAGAGTAAACAATATATTAATAATAATGAAATAATGGCTTTTAAATAATACGTATTAACTTCGACAACATTGATTTCTGGATGATATTTTCATAAGATTAATTTCCTGAACATGGAACGATAGTTTAGTAGAAATATGATTTCCTAACCATTGTAATAAAAGGAAGTACTCTAAGAATATAGCAGGAAGAAAAATGCATAATGTCAACACAGGCACCGCTGTCTCGCATTTCTGAAATATAACAGTTTCTTTGTGTTGCAAATAACTAGACATCTCGTTAATTTGTACCTTCTATTAATCAACATATGAAATGGCATTCATTAGAGTAATAACACTACGCATGCCTCAACCAAATTGAGATATTCCGAAGAGATAAATAGTGGTGCATTTCGTAATGGGTAGGGCCCTATCCAGGCCCATCAACTGCTAAGCACCAGTTTGGTTACCGACTGTTAAATGACAATATGTTTGTTTGTGGTGAGTTGCCATGTTGATTGTGTGAATTGGCGACTTGCTTGTGTACACTCGCACACTGCACTGACTGGCGCCGCCCCCTACTGCCGCCGCCTCCGCCGCCTCCGCCGCCGCCACCGCCGCCACGCCGCACAACGCCACGCCACGCCACGCCGCGCCACCGCGTCGCCGCAGCCCCCGCTGCCAGCCGGCCGCCCGTTCGGCACCGTCCCTAGGATCCTCCGTGTGTGTACATGTGTGCATACATGTATGCGTTATGCTCTGCCAACTATGTTTCACCGAGGATAGTTGCAACCCTCGCTCCCCTCTCCCGTGCGTTCCTCTCCGTCGAGCCCCTGCCACGCGCAGCTCGTCATGTCACGCGTTTCCCACGTCACACAGCTTCTTTTCCGGCCCCCAATCCGACCCATCGCTGGGGTACATTTCGTCAACTATTGAAGCATAATTCAGCAGTCGTTCCCATGCAATTTTCAAACACAGTAATGAAAACATCAGCGTGCACAACTTGTTATAATGTATTTATTATAATAATTATTAATATGAATATTAATCTTATTTATTACGATAGTTATTGTTTAAAAAGCTTCTACCTCTCCATTTTCATGTATTGAAGTCTCAAATACTCTTTGATTTATTACGCTCCATCAAATCATTACTCGAGAATATGGGTTTTAACATTACTGGAATGGTTTATAAAGAGCGAGTGAAATTTCACAATATCCAATTTATTATAAAGTAATAACATTTAATATTTTTATAATTTCTACAAGAAACATTTAGTATTCTTCCTAATAAATGAGAATAATGTTTCTCACAACATACTAAATGACTCTAATATATTGACGATAATATATTATTTCAAGTCCATATTTTTTTAATTTTAGAAACCCCACTACTTCCCTCCTCATTGTGATAAGCAATAAAATGTGTCACGACAATTAGGATAATAAACAAAGTAATTTTTACCTGATTTTGCCTCATAATGGTGAAGTCTGAAGACTTTGGCGACTATAAAAACAATATTTTGAATTCGGTTGAAATATAAGTTCACCATGTATTCCTTCAAAAACCTTATAAACAGAATATCACTTTTTGTAATGAAATGAATGGTGATTTATCCATAAATGACAAATAAAATCAAACTGTCACCAATTGTTTCAATTTATTGATCAATTTAAGTGAATTTAATATTCATGTAAGTCTGAAATGATTAATAAGCGGTGGAAATGTCTCAAAAAGTATCAATTTGAAATGAACCAGCTCATAATCATGCAGTTTCCCGTAGAGGAGAGAGGGAAGTTGAGGGTGATGCAACAACCAATGATTCCGAGTCCTGTCACGAGAGGGCACTGACTGCTCGTTTGTAGGGAGTCGCGCATGAAAAATAGCCGAGTGCAGCCAAAACATATCCCAAAAATCAAATCTTCTGTGCCAATCTATTACTGAATATTTCATTGTTAGCCTCGCAGATATTCACGAGCACGTACCAACGAGACTACTATCACAATATTTCTACATATTATTTTTGGTTACAAAAAGTTATTTTTGGAATTAGTGACATTAAAATAATATTCACTACTTCCATATGACATACGAATTGAAGTCCAATGCATCACGATATTAACAAATACAACATTATCACAAGTATCTACATGATATTTTTAAACGTAAATATCTAAAAAATGTCGTAGACGATCGCTCCTCAGAATTGAATTTTTCAGTATTGAATTCAGAGTCAAAATTCGAACTTTAAAGAAACAATGCCGTAAATGCTTGGTATATCTCCATATAGGCTAGGATGCATCAAAGATCGTCACTATGTAGATCTTTTAGAGCATCAGGCGTGTTCCAAGCTGATCTGCGTACCAATGGGCTCTCCCTTTCTTTTTATTTACACACATTGCATTCATCAACAAATGCATGGCATGTCTACGCTTGATGAGTGCACATAAACACTCTACACAATATAAATCACAAAAAAGCCCCTCCCTGCGCCCCGCCCACAGACCTCTACGCAAGACAGATGATATTCACTTGATTGTCTCTCATCCAATATGAAAGTTTGAGGCAGTAATCGTTTGCAAATGAGGGGGAAGAAGTGTAATGCTTTAGCATATTATTCATAAAGGACTCGGGTAGATCCCACACAAGTGAAAGATTCGTGAAAGTGAGGAAGTATGTCAGAAAACATATTACATACACAACGCTTGTAGTTGAAATTCATTCTTGTATCGATCAAAATATGATACACCTTTAATCTGCAATTGAAGGGTATATATACAAATTTCCATTTGAAATAATTGATCATGAATTTCAAATATCTCATAACAAAGATGACGTCCTGAAATTTATTCAATCGAAAGCCATGAACAATCGCGATACTATCGTAATCGTTTCCCAGCATAGTGTTTCTTTTCATGGTGTTATGGCTGAACTAGAGAATATTCCTTGACATGCTCAATTGTGAGCAAGAGTTCTCTGTATCGTATTCCATCTGCCGCCCACTCTCGTCTCTCACTTCTGACGGCCAGATTATTAGAATGCGACGTATTTATGTCATTGTCACAGAAATAACACCGTGCATACAGCAGGGAACTGACAAAATTTTATGCAAACACACCAATGCAAACATTTGAAAATGTTCCCTTATTGGAACAGCGCGGTGAATTTACGGCGGCGCGGTACAAAAGGCACTTGTTTGTATGTTGATATTTCGTACAAATTTCGGAATCGTCTCGCAGGCTGGAGAACG